CTTTAGCGGCATCGTGTGGGATGGAGTGTTTGCAACACAGATAATCTGTGTTGGCATGGTGATGGTAAGATATGCATTCAGTCGGGCATACTTATTCGGCAACGGCATGCCATTCATTGGTGGAAAGTGTTCTCCTGACTGTGTGGCAAATTACTCATTCGAAATACCATTCTAGAATGCACCGCAAGCTTTCACCTAGCCAATTAACACTTCGAGGCAAATGTCCTCACATCCGATGCGTGAGTTAAAAACTACGTTATTTTTACTGAAGCGTATCAGTTTGCTGCAGTTGGTTCGAAGATGGATGCATTTTGTTTACTAGCATGGTGTTTTTCTTATTTTATACCTATTTAATTGTGCAAATTCTTGAATTTTACGTGATGTCTGCACCAAAATTACCATATGGGCGAGGCTAACTTCATTTAAAAAAACATTTTAACCAGTAAATTTTTATTCTGAAGATAAGTAGATGCGGCAGACTAGATAACCACTGTGCATCTCTGAAGTGCGCTAGCGAATAAATTTTCCGTTTGCAGTGAACCATGCTGATTCCCCTCCAATAATCCTATCGTCGCAGCCTCAAACACTCGCCCCATGTTTAAGAGGCGTGACCTTCAGTCACACGGGACCACCTGCCCACTCACCCCTGTGCATGAAACGCTCATACCCGCTTTATCAATCCAAGCATTCAGATGTGCGTTTTGGCCTAAATCACTCAGACTTTGTCAGTTATTCGTTCACGTTAACACACCTACACAAACCCATAGCTTGGTTTGACCATCCAGCAAACGGCTTTGTCTAACCCGCTACGAACCTCTTCATTTTCGCGTGTGTAAGCAAACTAGGTTCAGTGCAGTGAACCATGCGCGGTTTAAGCCAACATGTCGGGGTCATCAACAATTGGTGGTCCCGAATAGGAACGCACATCAATCCTCTGCCACCTGGGAATTAGCGGTCTTCGGGTAGGATTTGTGTGGCGCGAAGATTCTGTCTCGCAAACTATTGAAATTGCCAACCCTCAAGCCTGTCTACTCTCTAACACAACTCGGACTACGATCGTTCCTCATCAATCACGCCCTGAATCAGCCAGACTTCTCTAGTCAATGGATCGCCAATTACTGAGGGTCCCCACAAATGGGCCTACACTACACCGAGGCAAATGCGCTTATGAAAACGTTTGCCGCCATGTGGTTGCTGTTTCATCAGTACAAAGAAAGCCAACGACCTTAAAATTCCTATACTTGTGTGGTAAATTATAGCCACGCCGTCAGTTAAGTCTCCTACACACACATCAAAATACACCCACAGTGGTTGGCTTGAACAATGTGATCACACGAGGGAGAAATTCGTCAATTTACCCAAACAGCTACACTCAGACTCCAATTTCCAAACTAAGCCTACTCACACCTGTTAAGACCTGACACCAGCTGAGGGTGCATGATTCGTTGCTTCAAAAACTGAAAGGTTTGAACTAACTCACCTCATGTCGCCAACATCGCCAAGATGATGATTTACACAGGCCACATCGGCAGTGGCGTCGATCGCCACACAGCGTTGAACCTTGATCTGCAACAATGGACTCCGCAACGAACCGTGCATGCCAGCGAGTTGAGATGAATTGCGGCTTGAAATGCATTCAATAATTGTGTTTCGAATTAGTAATTTGCCACACAGTCAGAAGAACACTTTCCTCCAATGAATGACATCCCTTTGTCAAGCAGGCATGCCCGACTGAAGGCATACCTCACTATCAACATGCCAACCCATCCTATCCGTGATGCAAATACTTCATCTCACACGATGCAGACTCTGAGAGGATTCATTTAATGTCGGTCACCTCAAGCGTTGCAGTGATCACTTCTGAGACGCCGCATCTACTTCTGTCGCTGTCTTATTAACACAATGTACAGAGTCATTTCAAGGATGCTGTTGGCGTCAATTGAGATTAAGTTGTCGACAGCGAATTCTATCGATCCCACCCTTATGAGCACATTCGCTAGATTTGCATGTCGCTAAAGCATGAAATTTTCACTTGTTTTCACAATTCGTAAATATTTGGCAGTCAACGTCGCATCGGTAGCTGGAACGCTGCACTGGATTGCAATGTAGTCTCATTTACACGCGTTGTCACGCACATTCAAAGTGCCAGCGAAAACTGTGGAAATGCCACGAGATAAATGCACCACGCAGACTTGTCGATGGACAACCTGTCTGATTTTATGCGTATTTCCATCCTGCTTCACCAGTCTCTTCTGGATTCTACACTTCCAGCCTTTGCATTGCTGTTGCTATTTTAAGGGTGATTGCACAGCCAGTGTGCAATAACCGCCAACCCAAAGCCTTCCTCTGATGCCAGACCCCAGCTTTCCCGGTGTATGACAAGGAAGACAACTCGTGAACAAAATTCTGCTGCTTCCACAGTAGTTTTGCTACTTCCACTAGTGACGTGTCCACCACTTACTAAGTACATGACAAGGAAGACAACTCGTGAACAGTAGTTTTGCTACTTCCACTAGTGACGTGTCCAAATGTGCCCACTTATTTTGGTCATGAGTGACCTTGATCCAATGG